TGAAAAGCAGTTCGGTGCATCTGTAATAATGCACGGCAACGGGGTATATTTCGCTGCAGTCATTTTTAACTGACTTCATAAAACCATGTAAAAAGTAGTAAAACCTGACCAAAATGGAAAAATTATTAATTCTGCTGAGCTTGGTTGGCGTGTTTTTGACAACTATTACACGTAATGAAGGGCTTATTGACCTGATCCGTGAATCTCTGCAGACCTGTTTGACCAAGCTGCTGAGTTAACAAAACAAAACCACGACAGATATGGACAATTGCGTCACCGCCGAGTTGTTCAACAGTACAAACGGTATAGATATACGTCTTTGAGTAGTGGAACTATCACAGTTTTTTTTGACGTAGCCCTTACGTGGGAAAACAGCCATGAAAAAGTATTGAAATTCCAAATGATAAAAAAAGTTTTAGCCAAAAAATACTGATTAGGATAGATTTTGATGAGTTTTAACATATTCGCATTGAATGAATTTCAACCAAATGATGGGTTTTCGAGAAAATTTTATATCGATAAACTTAATTTCAGCGGGCAAAATTTTGCCAAGATTTTTGCCGAAAGTCCAAGAATTCAAAGTGACATAAGAAACAGATCCAGTTTTATTTCAATTTCAAATGTCGTGCTGCTATTTTTATACGTTACTGCTGATGCGATCTGTCGAAACATTTAGCATTTCGTCCTTGTGTGTTCAGTGTCCTTGTGTTTTCCTTTCATCCATTGTACATCAATCCAATCTTCTATAAATCAAGGCATTATTATATATCAATGTTACCAGCAATACATCAAGTCACTATCCATCGAAGTACCATCCTTCATTCATGTAACCAGCTATCTGTTCATCGAGCCATAATTTCATCTATTCAGTAATCCATTGATCCAACCAGGCATCTGTCCGCTCCTCCAGCAGTCCATCGGTCCATCCATTTACCCATCATGTACCCATCAATTCAACCATCAGTTCAGTCAATTATGCATTTTTCCGTCCAGCCATCTATCGTTCCAACTAGCCATTGATACGCCATCCCACAATCTAGCCATCGATGGATCTTTTTATCCATCCAGCCATCCATCCATACATCGTTCAACCTTTCATGCAGCCATCCAGCCACACCTCCCTCCATCGTTCCATCCAATAGCAATCAATCCAGCCATCAATCGATACATCAACCATGCATCGGTTCAGCCATCCAACCAACCAGCCATCCATCAGCCATTCCAATAGTTTTTCCAATTAAGCTAAAATCTGTCATTTTTCAGGATCAGCTTTAGCTGCAGAGTGCTCTTAGTTGTATTTATTGGAACGAAGCATGTACTTGAAATTGTCTTTAAATCCAGGAATAGGTGTTTCTCGATTGTGTTTACCTTGTGTTCAAGTGATCTATGTGAATATTAAACTAGTTAGTGGCTAAACATAAGTGATTGGATTTTCGTGCAATTTTTAGTTTTTTTATAGTGTGCCCAGGCTGTAAACATGGCTCTCTACGGACAATTTTTTTTGAAAGAAAGTGTTGGGATCTACTGTACACTCCCCCCTCCCCTATGGTATCTGTTTAAAGGTCTCCTCTACTAAAAATAAATACAGTAAATTAACATTAGAGCTGAGTGGCGCCTAGGAAATAAGACAAGAAAATTAGGCGACCTAACGAAATGGAATTTAGACGATAATTCTTATTGAATTTATGCTATAAGAACTAGGTCATCAAAAAATTTTGTTAAGAATGAATTTACACGAAAAAAAGAGTATATGATGACAGAATTGTTCAAAATTGTTATCATAAGTTGATTATAAAACATTCATGCGAAAAAAAAAATTACCTTTTTGAAATGCAGTATTGATATAACTGTGATATTAATAACCTGATTTATTTTTGGACAACCAATTATCACTCAGCTAAAAATTAATTGAAGTCTGTAAACGAATTTCACGCAATTTATAGGCAAGTTATCCCTGAAATTCCGTTATTTTTTGATATTCTATTTGGTTGTCGCCTAAATTCATAAGCCCGATAAAAACTGGTACACTCTAGCACGAACATTTATTTAGTTTATTGCAACAATGGCTAATTGATGTGGTTTATTTTGTGGTTTATTTTATTCCTGTCACTGTTATTGGAAACATCTTGTAACCAATGTTACCAAACCTTCCTGAAGCACTGAAATTGATAACTCCATAATTTTTGCACTTCCATTTTTTACCAAGTAGTTTACCCAAACCGTTCTTTACGCCTATGACTGGTAGGTGTATCATGCTTCAGTTTTTTGCATAACGCATTGTGTTACATTTTTACATTTGACTTCCGTCACAGTGCGTAAAATTCAATTAGTTAGATCACTCCCGCAGTATTTTTGCTTCTGATATTTCATGCATTTTTACTTCTGTTTTCATGCTTGCTTCTCTTGACTTTATTATTCGATCAGCCTTCTGTAATGACACTAATAATGAAATGATTTTACAAATAATCACAGTTTAATAATAGTGTAAAATAGTTGAACTATTACTTTTTCCCCTCCTTGACGAGTGAACTTGAATCGGAAACTGAATTAGGATGTAATTAATTTTTCCCGATTAGTTGCGGAACCACAAATGACTACAGCTAGTCTTAACTAGAAAGTCAAAATCCAACTCACAGTCAACTAGAAAGAGACCGTTCTTAGCTTCGAAAAAAACAACAGAAAGTTGTTAAAATGTCCGTGAATCAATTTCAGTTAGTTGATTAATGTATCACTTAAAGTGCGTCCGTTTTCGTATTTTGCTTGCGTAATTCGCCTTCCTTCAGGCAAATGATTTGTGACTTGAACTGAAAAAAGAACCAAAAGTAGAACAGGACCGCTCGTATCAGGGCAAAGCCATGACTGTTCCGACTGACTTTTGAGGTGTATGGAGCAGAAATAACATGAAAAAATTAAATGTAGAAAAAATGAAAAGAAATACTTTTTTTTTTAAAGTTTGGGATTTTTTGTAAAACTCATCCCCCACACGCCATATTAAGTACAAACTGATAAATTTTGCTCCTAATAACAAGTAAATTATGGCAAGTAAGCTTTCTTCAACCAATTAGAACGATTTCTAAGAAGGATTAATTCTCCGCTTATACGTTAATAGCGCGAAATATATCTGAATGTTTGCCAAGTCCACTCTGAATAATTCATTACTTCAAAGTTACAATGTAAAACCTATATCCCCTTCAGCTTATGCTCCATTTCCCAAAAGACAAATTCCCACCCAATTTTTAGCAAGGTGACCAATTCTCATTCCCAAAAATTTGGGGCTGATTAATACACCACTTTCCGCTGTTAACCTCGGAGTTTATTCTAGGCATTTCCGGTCCGAGACGCCCGAAAATCAAATATAGGTCACGATGGGGTCACCCGGGTCAAAAATTCTATTTTTTGGTTCCGAATCTTATAGTGGTACTACTACCAAGTTTCATCCATATCCAATTAATACTTCCCAAGGTATCCCATTTCTAAGGTCCGTTATCTTTTTTCCCGGGAAAAAGTTAATGACGCCGGAAGGAGTCGCCGGAGGGAGTTTACTTACATGAAATCCCTTTTCAGAGCTAGGTGCCAGTTTCTAATGCCGCCATAAAATCAATATCGCCTCGCTCACTTTTTTGCGTAAATTGTCCACTTCCGGTCTAAAGGGTGTTTTTCCCAAGTGGTTATAACTTCCCGTCCCACCGTCAGATTTGGTTCAAAATTTAATACATGATGTATCTTGTCATTACCTAACAAATGCCATAGTTTTAGATCCCCGCGTTAAGTGTTGGGCGTGAGAAACGACTTCCGGAAGTTCGGCACGGGGGACTATTTATTAAGGGAATTTGTTAGCGCTGTATATCTGGAAGCTCTCATCTTCAGGTCTTCTAAGGTTGCGTAAGTTTCCTAATAGAGCCATAGAGATGATTGGCCTAAAAGTTTGTAGGATCTTTTCACTGTGTTGCTGAGAAACGCAAAAGACTTTCATACCTTATGGTAAAACATGGGCAACAGGTGGATTTTTCGAGATCTCTGGGATGTTGATATCTCCTATTGAGCCGAATTCTCTGCGATTTCGGAAATTTGTTGCCTCTTTGTGGGCCAATTTCTTGCAGGACCCTATTAGTGCTAGATAGGGGCCTGTTAGGTTCGAGGGTGCTCCTACCCGTATATAAAGACTTAATTTCAGGTTTTTCCACAAATGACTGCCTCGACTCGGGCAGCTTGCACAGTCGCGAAAGTGCAATATTAGATTTGTATCAAACTCTGTTTTTGTTGGCTTTTGATGTAGATAAAAACAGTTACATTTTTAATCGAGAAGTTTTTGACACTAAACGAGACAATAAGGAGTGTCGAGATGTGAACAAATTTTGAGATGCACAATAAGCTGCTGCTTATCTGGTATAAAACAGATGTGAAAAACACGCACATTTGAAAAAGTTGGAGAGTTCATCCTTCCTAAAAATTGTTGAGCTATGTAGAGGCTCTAATGATAGTGATTGATGGGCTAATTTCGGCGTAGGTTTTGTTTGACTAAAAAACCAAAATTTTTTCGTTTTTGGGGTAAAATTTTGGGCGTAAATTTCGTAAAACAATTTTCAGCATATTACTTCTTCTAAAATGCTAAGCAAATTTTATCTTCATAATGTTTCACCTAAAGTCAACCCGAGTTGGGAACTTTTTTAAATGTCAAGTCCAATGCAATTAATTAAATCAGCACTGCTAATGAAGTTACCAATAATTTTGCGTTCATTAATTTCGATTCTTGCCCAGAGATGAAAACTTTCTGTGCAAAATTACCTTTTAGGTCTACAGAAAATTGTGGGAATCTCTCTTGAAAAGCAGTTCGATGCATCTGTAATAATGCACGGCAACGGGGTATATTTCGCTGCAGTCATTTTTAACTGACTTCATAAAACCATGTAAAAAGTAGTAAAACCTGACCAAAATGGAAAAATTATTAATTCTGCTGAGCTTGGTTGGCGTGTTTTTGACAACTATTACACGTAATGAAGGGCTGATTGATCTGATCCGTGAATCTCTGCAGACCTGTTTGACCAAGCTGCTGAGTGAACAAAACAAAACCACGACAGATATGGACAATTGCGTCACCGCCGAGTTGTTCAACAATACAAACGGTACAGATATACGTCTTTGAAGAGTGGAATCTATCACAAAATTTTTTGACGTAGCCCTTATGTGGGAAAACAGCCATGAAAAAGCATTGAAATTCCAAAGATAGAAAAAGAAATAACAGCCAAAAAGTACTAACTAGGATAGATTTTGATGAGTTTTAACATGTTCTCATTGTATGAATTTCAACCAAATGATGTGTTTTCGAGAAAATTTTATATATATATAAACTTAATTTCAGCGGCCAAAAATCTGCAAAGATTTTTGCCGAAAGTCCAAGAATTCATAGTGACATAAGAGACAGATCCAGTTTTGTTTTAAATTTTTGTGCTTCTATTTTTATACATGATTTTCTATTGGTGTTTGAACGTTACTGCTTATGCGATTTGTCAAAACATTTAGTATTTCGTCCTTGTGTTTTCAGTGAGCTCTAGTCTTCCGTCTGTCGTGACTAATTCCACTGAAGTGCAAACTGTCAATGATCTCTTAGCCAACTGCTCCTCTGACTTCGCAATGGTCAGCTCAGTCACCGGGGACATCACACAGTGGTACTGCATATGTCTAAATACAATCATAACCTACAACCAGGGACCTCCTTATGGGTAAGCTAAGTACTTTGTCTCCATCTCCCAGAAAAAACCCAGAGAAGAACTTTTGTATGGTAAAGGAGCCTGGTTTGTAATACGTTCCGTTTTCAATGAGTTAACCTGAAGCTAAAAAAAGCCCACAAGCAAAATTTTAAGCATTTAAAAAAAATCGCATGCAGTGCACAAAACTTTGTCAAAAAAGGTTGTTTTCAGTCTTCCGGAAGAGCTCGAAAGATCAATTGGGTCACAATCAGGAAAAATTTAAAGTTTTTCTTTCTCTCAATGTCTCAATTCTTTGTAACCTTCTCAGCCAATGGATCTATAGCTAATCAAATTCTGCGTGCAATTTTAAATTGTGCAAACCAAAACGATTGACAAACAACTTTGACTCTAGAAGTTCAACTAGATACCTATTATCAGAATTTGATTTTTCATGAAAATTTTCACAGTGATCAAATATAAAAAGCCTTGTTTCAGGTCAAATTCAACCAATTTTCCGTCAATTGTAGATCCAATTACAAACGAAACAATTGTTTGCAATCAAACAAACTCTGACATTCGGCTTTTCAATGGTGGAAATCTTACCGCAGCCACAACATTGGCAAATCTCACCACAACCACAACTTTGGCCATAAGTCCATTGGTTGCGGGTACAAATGGTACTAACGATATAAACGATACAGATGATGATGGCAACACCACGCGACCACTCGCGTTCAAAAACTCAATCTGTTTATTCAAAAACAATCATGCAGTTACATTGTCTTCTCTGATTTACTCTGTTGTGTTCGAATTTTGGAGTTAAGGTTGAAGTTGAGTTTTGGACCACTTTGATTTGTTCTAGAAATAACGAGCTTAAAATTTTTGACATAGTTTGAATTATTTTTTGAATTGTTGACATCGTTTTTTTTGGTTGTGTTGATTTTTTCACTCAAAGTTGTAGTAGCTCTAAATTGTTTTTTTTGGGGTTTGATTTATTTTTAGTTCATTCTAAATTCATAACGTAAGGCAAATTTTGCTTTTAAATAACAAAAGTTGAAGTTGCGCAATTAAACGAGAATGGTTTCTAATTTCAAAAAAATATATATTGTTAGAATGTCCAGCGGAAATCAAAAAATTATCTAATAATCTGAGTTTGGGTTTTTTTGATCAAAAAAGTGTTAATGTTAATAAAGTCATGAATTCGAAAAGGGTTGAAGTGATAATTATTTTTCTTGGAAACCCGAGTCTTGATTTTTTTCAAACATCAAATAATTGCCTTTGGTCTCCATGAGCTGAACGATAATTTAGTACCGTTGTTTGGGTATGTTTTTTAACAATGTTTTTTAAATCTTTATTAAATTTTGCTAAATGTTTTGCTTCATTCTTTAGGAAAAAGTCTTAAAAATCGTTCCCGCTCATTTTTGATTTTTCGCTATTTGATTTCATTTTATATTCCGTTCGTTTCCTTTGACGCTAAAAACGTAATCTCTTTTTAATTTCGCATAAAACGTGATCTCTTTTTAGTTTTGGAAGTGGATTTCAGTTTTCAGATTTCCCAGCGGAATGAAATTTTTGCCTAAGGAACCAGTTTTATCCAATTAGGTCAATATCATCAAAAAATGTCAATCATAAATTGTTCTAAAAATTCAAAGAGCTTTGAGGCCATCTGTTTTTTTCCTTTAATTTCGAAAGTTGAGATTTTTTTATAAGAGAAATCTAAATTTAAATTTTTTTTTCTATTTTTTTGCATCATTGATTCTGACTTAGATGTCTGTGGGATATGTTTTTGTTCCGACTTTCGTAACGAATCTAACGGAATACTTGTGCTCGGGTTGAGTTTTTTTCTTCAGACAAATTTCAATTTTTAAACTAGCCATTTTGACAATTTTTTTATATCATTCGAAAGCCATTGTTCTCCTGAGCTTAAATTTGAAAAGATTCTTCACTTGTGATCATTTTTTGATAAGTTATGGGGGTTTACAGATTGCCATTTTTCCCAATTTGGGACAATTATCGCGCGATATTTATTGCGTTTTTAACGCGTAAGCAGAGATTTAATTCGTCTTAAAAATCGTTACAAATTGATTCAAGGAAGCTTAATGCCATAATTGATTTGTTAAGAGTAGCAAAATCTATCGCGTTGTACTTAATATGGCGTGTGGGTCGATGTTTTTTCAAAAAAAATCTCAAATTGTTTTTCATTTTTTTAAAATTTTATTATAATTAATTTTTTTATGTTATTACTGCTCCATAGACCTTAAAAGGCAGTCGGAACATTTAAGACTTTGCCCTGATACGAGCAGTTTTGTTGTCTTATCCATTGAAAGTTTTTACAAAGTTGTTTAAACTCAATTAAGATATTGACGTACTGATTTCAACTGTAAGAAGATTTGATAAGCCATATCAAGTTTGGTGAAGCTGTAAGTGTTTAAAAACTGCCAATTAGGCCGAATTGGAATGCTATATCATATAAACTTTACAAAATTTGTCTATGATGTTTACGACTAAGCGCGAAGTATTTCACAATACGGAGTCATTTTATTCAGTACCCTTTTAGTATCCTTATTTATCTGCAACCAGACTGCTCGTATCAGGGCGAAGCCCTGAAAGTTCTGACTGCCTTTTAAGGTCTATGGAGCAGTAATAAAATGAAAAATTTAAATGTAATAAAATGAAATGAAAAAACTTAAAAAAAAGTTGAGATCAAAACGTCATATTGAGTACAAAGTGATAGATTTTGCTTCTATTAGCAAATAAATTATGGCATATAAGCTTCCTTGAACCAGTTTAGAACGATTTTTAGACGGATTAAATCTCGCTCTCCTGTTAATAGCCATAATTGTCCCAAATTGGCCATAATGGCAATATTTCAACCCCCATAACTTTACGAAAAATGATCACAGGTAAAATATCTTTTCAAATTTAAGCTCAGGACAACAATAGCTTTCGAATGATATAAAAAAATTTCCGTCAAAAATGGCTAGTTTAAAAGTCGAAATTTGTCTGAAGAAAAAAACCCACCCCGAGCACGAATATGCCGTTACTTTCGATACGAAAGTCGGAACAATAATCTATTTGCAACATAAACTACTTGATATTGGCTTTTGGGAAAACAAACAGCCAAAACAGACGAATGATTCTTCAAACTAATATGAGCGATATTATTTGTTTTGTTTGTCACCGAAACAGTTTTATCCAACTGATTTCCCTCGTTTCCTAATTTCTGATTACAGGAACAGCATTGAACAACACATGATATCGAGAGATATGCCATTTCAACCTCCTTTTAATCGGGATTTCACCTTCAGTACCATGAAATGAAATGGAGACTTTTTATAGTCGAGTATCACCAAAATTTCGATCTTTTGTTTTTCAGAGCCGAGAATGATTATTTGTATAAGTTTACCTGAGTTCTTGAGTGAACACTTGTCTCTTAATAGTAAAAGCAGAAAAAAACCTTGTACGGTTTTTTTACGGAAAAAAATATGTCTTGAGGAGCTATCAGATACATTCAAAGTGTGGCTATTATATCATCTTACCAGCCCACAACGCTTTCCAAGAAAAAGCTAAAAACAGTCAAGAGTTTTATTTTGTAACATTGCATTGTTACGTGCATTGTTTTCTACAGCAAACACCAATTAGCGTATATTCTTTTAAATTTTTTTATTAAATTAGTTAGAAAAATTAGTGTCGACAAAAAGGCTGAATTTAAATTATCCGGACAAAATAAAAAAACTTAAATTTAAATTTCTTGTCAAAAAAGGGACACAAATTGCTTCGAATTTTAAGACAACTTTTTATGGTGCAGCTGGGGGCGGATTTAGGGGGGGGGAGGGTGGGTGGTGTGTCGGACGCCTTTTTCCTCCCTCCTCAGGGATTCAACCACCTACCGACCCAAAGGGTCCCCCTTTGTACTGTTTTGAGGTATCCGTTTTCGGCTGTTGGACCCCAAAACTTTTCTAAAAATTTATATATAATTATATGTTAATCTTGAGTGGGGAATGCGCGCCAAAAAGAACGCAATTTTTTGATCGAAATTTTCTGAAAAGTGCCTAGAAACGCCTTTTTAGCCTGTTTTTTCAATATTTTGCCTGCGGCGCAAAAAAAATTGCCAAAATATATTTTTTGGTGCTTTGGATCGCAAAATCGATTTGATCGACCTCAAAAAAAGGTCGAAAAGATTTTCGAAATGTTTTCGAAAATGCACCCCCTCTCGAGAAAATCCTAAATCTGCCCCCGTGAAGCAGTCGATTTTGCAAAATTCGAATCCAAAATGGCAACCCAAAGCCAATCTTTTTTTACTACCGTCTGCCGTATCAATTGCTAAAACGCCATTCCAAGGTTAGCATCATAACAAAATGATTTTTGAAAGTTTTGTTAGTAGTATCCTTTTTAACTTGGAAATGTCTCGTTCTTACACATTTTTATGTTCTGTTTTGTTATTCAGCTGTTTTGTTTTGTAAAAATTCGATGAGTAACGGAGTGGTTACAAAATTATGCATTGATTTTCGTGCGTGATCTCTGTTAATTGAAAAATTCTTTAAGGCATTAACTTGAGTAGTCTAATCAGTCTTGAAAGAAATCGGTCTAAAAATTCCAAATTTCAGTCCAAACAAAAACAGAACACTAGCAAAGATAACTATCATCTGTTTTCTAAAGAGAACTTCATAATATCGTTTTGTATAAATTTAAAACTGCTTTTTGGAATGTCATTATTGCATATTAATACAATTCAATCCAGATGATGTCATCTAGCGTCACAAAATAATTGGGCATCAAAATTGTTGTTATTTCACACCTTTAAATTGACATCACATAAATGATTTGGGTCAGTTTTGTTTTAATTTGGATCATGAAGTACAGTGCTGATTTGAATTAACCGGACAAAAGCGTTAAACTTGAAATTTAAAACCCGTTTTTCTCAAATTGGGTTGAATTTAGGTGAAAACTTATGAAGACAAAACTTGCTTAAAATTTTAGCAGAATTAATATGGTCCCGAATTCGGGCCCAAAATTTTACCCCCAATAACTGGTCATTTTAGCTTTTCTTAGCTCACCAAAAATTACGCCAATAATGCCTGGTCGATCACAGACATACTTATATCAAAGTGAGCCTCTTACGTAGCCCAACAAACTTTAAGAAAGGTATATTCTCCAAAACATTGTAAAAAATAATTTATTTTTGTTTGATAGACAAAAAAGGTCGTTTTACTATATAAAATACCAACTTTTTATTTAAAAACTATTTTTGAACGGTTTGCAAATTTGAAAAACAGTTTTGATGATGTTGGGCATTCACTTCAAAATCGCGTCAAAACTTAGAACTCCAGTCCTAGGTCGAAGTAGGCTAAATAATTGTTATTGTTCCGATCACTCGAAAAGTGAAAAAAAACTAGGTAATAGAGTCAATTCATTAACTTTTTTTGGCCAATTTTAACTACTTCAACGAAACCTTGCAGGGAGTCAAGTGTGGTATTATATTAAAGCTCTGTTGATTGTGATTTTTGCTGCAAAACAAATTTAAAAGCTGTCAGAATTTCAAAAAATTGACGCGAGAATTTCAAAAAATTGAGTCAAATCCGGTAATACAGTGCTGATTTAAAATAACCGGACAAAAACAACAAAACTCGAATTTTCAACGCATTTTTCTCAAATTGGTTTAAGATTGGACAAAAATGAAGAGCGCAAAAACTGCTTAGAGTTTCATCACGATTATTATGGTACAATTTTCTCCGAAATTCTCAACCAAAATTTTACCCCAAAAATGGGTCATTTTGGCTTTTTTCAATTAATCACCAAAATTACGCTGATTTTTCTGGAACTTTGTTGGGCTGTGTAAAAGGCTTCTTGTGATATTTATTACTCATCAATTGAAAAAATAGTTCCTGCGTAATTTTTGATTAATTGCAATGAGCCAAAATTACCCTTTTTTGGGATAAAATTTTGGTTGAGAATTTCGGAGAAACAATGGCACCATTTTCATTTTGATGAAAATCTAGAAAAAGCTTTTGCTCCCTTCAATTTTTGTCTAGTCTTAACCCAATTTGCGAAAAACGTGTTTGAAAGTTCAAGTTTTGTTGATTTTGTCCGGATAATTTAAATCAGCACTGTATATGTCGTCTTGATTTTTTCAGGAAATTTTTCCCATGTCCATCCAATTTTATATTTTGTGGTTTGACTTTTAATTAAATTCAAGCCTATTCACATAAGCCGAAACAAATTCTGCTCATGAACACCAAAATTTGAAGTAGCGCAAAAATATCAAGCAATTATTAGACTTGGTTTCAAAAGAAAAATGCAGTTTCCAGAAACTGCGTTGCAACAACAAACTTTTTATTAAGCTCAAATTGGGTTAATGTTATCAAAAAAAAAACATTTTATCAGGTTTGTGAATAAAAAATGTTTCGCGATGGCTGACGTTTTTTGCAAACTTGATTTTTTTAAGTAAACATTTATTTGTTTCGGTCTTCTTGAGTTCATGGCAAATTTTCCATCATCATCTCACCATCTTGGCTTTGTTTTTCTTCAGTTTAGGGAAAATATTGATTCACAAAATTTAACTGTAAAAAGCTTTTTTTTTCATCTATAAACTTTTTGGTGATTTTCTGAGAGTTTTAACATTGCCAAATTTTTGGAATGATTTTATGCGCTCTTAAATTTTTGGATGATGCTCAACGGATGAGCAAAAATTGGTGTGATAAAATTGCAATCGACTTATAATGAGTTTATTGTCGCCTAAGTTATAATTACCTGCAATACGCTAATTGTAAGATTTTTACTCGGTATTGCTTTTCCGCGAAACAAACTACAGAAATATTCATTTTTATGAAAATCATAGCTCGAATAAACCTAATTCTTAACATTTTAAATTACGCTAATGTAAACTTTTAAGCCGTTAAAGTAAGCTATTGTATGCCTGCTCGCTCGAATTAAGACAAAAAACCAAACATTTTGAACCGGTTTTTCTGGACTTTGGGAAAAAAAGTTAATTTTTTTTCTCGTTCAAATAACTACTGTAAGGTGTGTAATATGACATAACACTCAAATCTCTCCGATGATTATTTGTGATAGCTAATTTTGCGTGGAAAACGAAAGAAAAACAACAGAAAAAAAACAAACTCATCCAAATACAAAGCTTTCTCCCCATTATTCAAATGGTCGGAATAATAAATGATATTCATACTGTTTTCATAGTATGAAATTTTATGACTTGCGTTTTTTCATTGGCTCCATATATGAAACTGTTCGAGAAGCATTATGCTTGTATGGAGGTTGACCCCGGGCTATTGGGAAAAGAATGTAGTCATTTCCACCACTTTACCTTAAGCCTTACGTAAAATAAGTAAGCTTAATGTTATGGTAAATTAGAGCATAAAATTCGTAGCGGTAACAATTTTTTTGTTATTCTTGAGTCGGTTATAATAAGATGGGCGCGCAAATACCCATTGAAAAGGCAAACGGCAGTAAACACGATTGAGTCGTTAATACATATATATTTAATATGGCATCCTTGAATGTTTATTTTCAGGCCAGCCAAAATAAAATATCCCGATGACCCTCCTGGATGGACACTGAATCCCCTGTACTCCGCCTACGAAAAACAAAAGTGTCACAAAAATTCAATCTGGGACCAAATGTTAACTACAAGTTAGTAGTAATCAAAATAGATGACTTAACAGATCTCGACCGAATTATTGATTCCAATTCTAGTTTTCTTATATTGAAGTTAGATGGAAAATGAGCTTTGAGACAACGACGACGATGTATTTCATGATAAAATTGCGATTAATGTTTTTTTTAGAGATTATAGAGTCTGTGACCGTCTCAATTGTTGTTGTTGTTTTTAGCTCCTGTTGAACCTCTCCCTCCGAGACCCAAAGCCTTCAAAGGTGACGCAAGGATAATTGAAAACGGAGCTATTATTGCGACGGTGACAAATTTAGTGCTGGTGTGGACTTCGTGAAAGTGCTTAGTCTCAAAAAATGGTTACAGTTTGTTAAAGCCCAAACAACATTAGCATCATCTTTCGAAATTTAACTTTGAATCCTGAATTTTCAGAAATCCTTTTTTGTTTGGAGCGCAGATTATTACATGAAGGACTTAAAAATTGCAAACAGAAATGTATTTGAATTTGCTTGCGCTTACAATTTGGCAGCCCAAGAGTTAAATTTTTTCTGGAGTCGATTTTTTTACGAACAGTTTGATTGTTGATTTTACGTTCCCGCATCCAGTTTCAAGCGTTAATAATCGGTTATATTATAATTTTAGTACCAGTCTTATTAAAATTGAGACAAAATTGATTTTAATCAATTATTAATCGATTATTATCTCTCTTTTCAAAATCCAATTTTAATCAATAATAAACATTTTAATCGATTGTAATCGTTTAGTGGTACATATTTTTTGATTCACTTATAATCGATTATAATCGATTATTTTTATCCCAGTTTCTAAATCATATGTTGTGCACAAAAAATCCACTATACTCGATTATATTCGGTTATAATCCCTTCTGTTTGCCCATTTTCTCTCCAAACATGCATCAGAATTGCTCATATTTTATGCTTTTTGTAGACGTTGGCTTATGTGAAAAATAAGAGAAAAGCTTTAAGCGTTTTCAAATCAATTCAAACTTATAATTTTAAAATTTATTTGTTTCTCATTGAAGTTGGTTCTTGATGCATATCTTGAGTTTTTTTAACCACCAAAATATCAGCGCCAGATTTAGTTTCATGATTCACTTGGAAAACTTAATTTTCACATACAGCGAGAACTTTTCAACTAATGCGAAAAAATCTCAATGAAATTTTTTGTTCCGTGGTGAATGTTTGTGCTCAGATGAACCAAAATGTGACAAGGCATCTCGTTTTTAGAGGTTTGTTTTTGATCGAAAAATAATAAGCCATGAGATATTAGTAAACTCTACTTTTGGTGTTACAAAGTTCTGACAAAATAAGAGATTTTATTCGATTGTAATCGATTATAATTGATTTTAAGTGTAATTGTAATCAATTATAGTCAATTATAATATATTAAAATCTCATGGAAAATTATAGTCGATTATAAAACCTTTAAACACCTAGTTTTGTGTTTATAATCAATTTTAATTGTCAAAAAGTCATCATAATAATCCTCTATAGTCGGTTGCTTACGCCTAAACTTGAATGCGGGTTGTTTTTATTATTAGTTTACAAGAAAACGAGTTGTCTGACCTTTTTAAAAAATATTGTTTATTATTAAGTAGAATGAAATCCCACTAAGGATCATACACATTTTGTCTTGTATGGTTGCAAAAATAGAGCAAGAACAAGACTTTTCTAATCAGAGCAAATCTTGAATGAGTATTGCGTTTTAAGCTCTATGTATCAGTGTTCAAAAAACGAAACCATCTCACACTCTATATTTAGCAGTAAGTGACGTATTTTGCATATAGCAACCCGCATCCAGTTTTAAGCGTTAATATACGGTTATATTGTGATTTTGCTACTAGGTTTATTAAAATTGCGAAAAAATGTTTTTAATTAACTAATAATTGGTTATAATCTTTCTTTTTGAAATCAAATTAGAATCAATTATAATACAATTTAATGGATGGGTCTATTTCATTGTTAATCAATCTAATTTTTGATCTAAGTATAATCCTTTAAATTAGATTATGATTTTTTGTTTGCCCATTTTTTTCAACCTTGCATCTGATTTGCTCATATTTTATGCTTTTCGTAGACGTTGGTTTATGCGAAAAATGAGAAAATTGCCTTCAAATAAATTCAAATTTATGACTCATTTTTTTCTTCATTTTTTCTCAATTCGAGTTGTTCCATGATGCACAGTTTGAGTTTTTGAACCACCAAAATATCATCACATGCTTTAGTTTCATGATTTATTTGGAAGAAAATTTTCACGTACTTCGGGAACCTTTCAACTAAAATGAAGGGATCTCTATAAAATAATTGTTTTGTGGTTAAACTTTGTGTTCAAATGAAATAAATTAAGTCAAGACATCTCAATTTTAAAAATTTTTTACAGAAATAAATATACTAATTCATAAGATATAATCAAAATATACTTTTGGTTTACAACATTTGGCACAAAAAGAGTTTATACTCAATCATAATCGATTATAATATTTTTACAAACTTTTTTATAAGAATTATCATCAATTATAAATGATTCTAAGAAATTGTATCGTATTGGAGTTTATCACGACGTAATTGATAATAAATCCTTCAAACACCTGATGTTGGTAATTATTATCAATTATTATAGTCGAAAAACCATTATGTTAATCCGTTATAACCTGTCACTTACGCCTAAACTTGGATGCGGGAAATCCTTCAGTAGACCAAAAAGGATGACTAAATTCTATTTGTAACAATTTTTTTGGACAGATTAGATCTCCGTTTGAACGTTAATAGCACGAAAAATATAGCGCATTATTAACCATAAATTGGCCATCATAAAGCCCCAATATTTTTACAAAAAACGATTTCTGGTGAAATATCCTATACGTTGAGGCTAGAACAATATACTTTTCCACTGATATAAGAAAATCCGTCGAAAATTTTCAGTTTAAAAATAGAAGTTTGTCCGGAAAAAAAACACCCCGAGCACAAATGTTCTATCACTTTCTTCGAAAGTTGGAACAACGGACAATTAATGTGGCATGATGTGAATAATGAAAAAAAGGTACTTTGTTTGAACAAATGAGTCTCTGTTATCTGTTATTATTGCTAAATCTTAAAAAAATTCCAAACAGAGGTGCCGTAAGACATTGAATACTGAAAGAGTAAATGAAAAACTTATTTGCAAAAGTTATGAATATAAAAGTTTATATTTTTAAATTTTGTGCAATTTAGGCCATGTGATTGAAATTCCCAGCCTTGTAATAAATGTATGCAATCTAGTCGATAGTTTATCAATATGCTGGAGATAATATCTGAAATAGGATTCATGGGTTCGATATAAACTAAGCGAATTTGTGACTTCAAAAAAAAACTTGAGCTAGGTTATAAAAATTGTCCTGGCACTATAAAAAAGTTTTTTATTTTTGAGGTATTCTGTTTTGTTTATGGGCTTCTTTTTTGATAGAGTTGTCATTTCCAAATCAACGGGCGGCGTTCGTTTGTTTTTTTTTCTGCGAAATTTACATCATCTAGCTTTCCGTGAAAATTTTGGTTTAAACTATTGTATTAATTATAATCCGTGAATTTTTTAATCAAAGGAAAATAAATTTTTTAACTATCAAAAGAAAATTTGCGGAATGATAGTTTTTTAATATTAGCATTGAATCAAAAAGGCCATACCAAAAACGTTGTCTTCGTGAATGAAATTGAAAAAATATTTACCTGATTAGGTTGATGTCACTCGTAAGAAGAGATGAAAAAAAATCGCGAGTAATTTTTTTTTATAAAAGTGAGAAAGATTTTGATGAAAATGAGAAATTTTCAGATGACAAATCATTGCGATTTGTCATAAAAAAAAGTGCAAGGTTCTTGTCCTAATTTATGGCCGGCGAAGTGGAGAAAAAGCGTCTCTCTAGCTTTGACGGTTCGAATAACTCAATTTTGATTTATTCACAGGATTTCAAAACTTTGGTGATCTTTTGCTACCTTTTACTTCAAAAATGCTTTTAAAATTGAGTTTTATAAGTTTGTTACTTAATTTTTTGATAGAGTAAGAAGAATAAAATGAACTATTTCGGCTAAATTTTATGCTCAATTGAAAAAAAGCTTCATCCGAAAGATTTATAAATTAAATATTCTCTTAAAAAAGATGGGGCGCAACATCGTTCTTTTCGCACACAATTGATATCGATAATTGAACTTGTTTTTGAGACTTTTATCAATGTTAAACAGCAAACTGATCTAGAAAAATTGGTCGATTTTTTTCATAAAATAACCCATGATTAAAGTTCTTTCAGTGAATTACATTCAAATAAGATTTAGTTTAGTTATTTGTTTTTTACACAACAATTGATTTCGTCTTTTTGATACTACATTAATATTAAACAAGCTGGTCTTAAAAAATTTGGTCAAATAAATTCAAAAAAGAACCCCGTCAACATTTGCAGTACATACCTTCTTGTCTACTTGGGTAGCTTAACGGTTTTTCATGTTTGCCATCTTTCCTATTGCGATTAGCAAGCGTTATCAAACTGGAATTTAGACTTTTTTCTTGTCAACCACTTGTTTAACAAAATCAGTTGAATCAGTTAACTCACCTGTTATGTTAGACAATTCTCATCAGTCAATTCTCATCAGTTAACTCACCTATTAGCAACAAAACCGAATGCCTGTCAACAGAATTTTTCTGAGCATGTATGCCTTTTAAATGGCCGTTCCATTTGAAGTTTTATTGTTGGTTGTAAATCAACTCCTGTTTTTAGTTATATTTTTTCGCTTTTTTTGTTTCCTTTTTTTTTCTTCTTCTTTTAAGTTTTTTTCAGCTTTAATGGTGTTGAATGATGCAGATCAGTTTAGTTGCCTCTTAATTTGTTGTATGAAGCACCAAATTTTTTAATTGTTTTTGTGCTTATGGAAAGGTAGGTGGGGGGACTTAGGATTTCTTATTTTTTGGTTCAATACGTTTTATAGCTCAATTCAGATTTTTTTTCGGCTCATCAGTTGTCTACCCAAATTTTGTCTTCCTAATATCCGCCTATTGAACTTTGTTCTTAAGGCTTAATAAACACCGGTAGTTGTCTTTTTCATTAAATTTACCCGCATTCCATGCAAACGTTAAAAAATTAATTTTTCAGTCTATATTTCGACAATTTTTTTTTTCGATTCAGCTTGCGTCCTATTTTTGGGCTAGCTGCTGTGCCATTTTTCGTTCTATGGCAAGAGGTGCGAAGCTCCGCTTTGCCTCTGTGTTCATTCTTCGTCACCACAATGTAATTGATATACAAAATGTTATCATTGATATACGGGCTTGTGCTCCGAGAGATTAAGAAGTGTTCCAATGCGACAGCTGGACAATTTTACGGGAACCTTTAAATCATACTATAGATTTTTAAACAGTTTCTAGTAAAGGCTATCAATGCGCGTGACGATAACTTTTTGATGAAAACCTGAAAAGATCAATTTTAAGTCAAAACTTCCAAGTGGTGTTCCATTCCGTTTCACTTCAAGTGACAACGACTGAGTCAACTGTAATCGGAATAAATTGATCAAAAATTGTCCCTTTCAAAGTGACAAGTGATCCCTAAAATCAGTTTCAAACCTCCCGGGACGAGTAACGAGTGTAATGATTATAATAATTACCCTAAACCAGTTAATGTCGCATATAAACTCATTACCAGACTGGTATATATCCATTAAATTGAAATTGAATCGAAACGCAGCAATTGGCAAAATATGTCACTTTTTAGTTAAGTTCTCAATCCTTGTGTAAGAAACTGAGGTATTACAACTAATTCTTATCAAGATTTATAGAATATATTTATTTCGAGCCACTTGTTGGAAACTCAATGTGTGCGATATTTAATTGTTTCTTTTTTTCATAATTTTTGCAAAAGTAAAGTAACAACTGTTCCACTTATCCTTGTGAAGTTTACTTAGCTCGCAATAGTTTAATAACGACAACACGTGCGACATTTTATTGTAAATTTTTGTGCATAGTTGAGTTTGAAAAATTAATTTATAATTTTTTTGTCGTATTGGCGGTCGGTTGTTTGGTTGTTTTACTTATTTAAAAACTCTTTCAAAAACTTCTCTTCCTTGTTTTGGGAATTTGGGAGACCATAAAAACTGTTAACACGTTTGGTAATTTGAAATCTTCTTGGGAGAGTTGGAAAAATTTCGAAACCGGAAGGAAAAGAAACGGAGGTGGATCTTTCGAATTGTCTGTTTTGACTGAATAGTGGGCGATTACAGCAAAAACTTTATTTACTAACAAATAGTCTAACTTGATTGATCTTTGTGCTCAAAATCTGGTTACAGAATTTGGTTAAGGAATTCTAATTCAATTAATTTCCAAAAAAAAATTGAAAAAATTGAAACTTCTAATAGCTTGAAATTGTCTTGGGGTCAAATTTAGAGTTCTCGACAGAATTAGCAAAACTGTTACTTGGCCGATCATAAATTACAAACAGTTATCTGAAGCAGTGTCAAAATTAGTAACTGCATCTACAAACAAACCTCCCCAAATTGGATTAAAAGCAACAAGTTGAATACCAGTTCTCAAACCTCTGCAAGAGAAAGCCAAACCTTTTACAAATAACGGTTTTCGCATTAGTGACGCAAGTTAAGAAGAAGTAATAAAACCCTTTGAAGATATTTCGATTACCTTAACATTCAGCTGAATCATCATATCCATTAAAAGAAAATTTGGGATCCAAGCTTTCAACGATACAGGGTCTGAAAATTTCTCGTAAACCAGACAAAGCATTTACCAAAACCATCAATTTTTAATAATTTGGAAAAAAAACTTTTTTAAAAATGGAAGTAGTTACGACACCGATGAAAACAGAAGAGATGAGTTGTCCCGGAGAGGCATCAGGGTTCTCGGGTAGTGACGTGAGCCACACTATATTCCTGTGCTACCACTGTGCAACCCCTGGATCGCCAGAGGACTGGGGAAGTGAGACGGAGGAGTTAGTGGCCATGTCATGGACTTGTATTGACTCATCCACCAATCAGGTTCGTCCATTTTACGCTCTTCATCAATCACACTGTTCTAAACTCATTTTGTAAAATAATTAATAACAGAGTAACAGAAAAAAAAGAGAGTTTAGATTTTTACTCAGTTTGCTGTAGCATTTTTGTGAAACTTTATTATAAAAAACGAGCGATTTAAATTTATCCGTAAATAAGTATTAATCATGGCTAACAGTAACAGACAATGGTTTGGTTCAGGGAGAATTTCTCCATTTTCTTCATACTCGATTTTATTTATACCAGATCATGATCAGGTTTTCAAAAAATATATATTCAATCAATTAAATCACCTCACGGGAATTGATTTGAAACATTTGAGATAAAACTTGTTCAGGCGGAGCCCACAATTTTTTGTAAAAGGTGCCAAGTTTTTATTTCAACCTAAATTTTTTATCTGTTTGCTTGCACCAACTCTATTTTCTACTATAGTTGGTTATTATTATTTTTGCCGCCATTCTTCTGAACTTTTGATGTGTTGAATGAACCTTTGCAACTATTTATGCCTTCACCTTTCAACTAAATCACTTCCGCCTCGCTGCCTCAACACCACAAAAATTCCCTTTTGTTTTCCAGGTGGTGGGTTCGAAGCACCTGCCTGTGCGGACTAGTGTGAATGAATTCTGCGTGGACAACTACCTGCAGATTGGCTTCACCCACGAGCAGGCTCTCAATGCAAAGCCACTGCCCGACATACTCAGAGAGGTAAATATGACAACAAAGTTTCAACAATTGGAAGACAAAAAAAAACGATTATAAAATGAAGAATTTCTAAAAAGCATTCCTTACGTACATTGAAAAGTAGGGCTATGAAACTGACCCAAACGACGTGCAATTTCAAAAAAGATTTCACAGACTTGACGCAGGAAAGTTTTGGTAAAAGGTTATCAAAACTTGATCTTATAAATTTTCACCCATTATAGCTTGAATTGATATTTTACTATTAGTCTTGAACTCTATATTATCCGGGTTTTCAATATCTTCGATTGTCCGAGAAGGGAGAATATGTAATAGTAAATGGAGTCTAAAAAAATTCAGATCAATTCAAAGTTGTAACTGAACAAAACAAAGAAATTGATGCTATCATAGTATTCGTTTTCTAGTTGCACCAGTACATGATCACAGAACTGCTCCCGGAATCATCCTCCAAATCTCTCCTTCTCGCATGCCCAGATGGAGACAAACAGCCCACCATCAACAGCAGTCCCCGTGGAGGACACGTGGAAGTAGTCCCAGTCACTGTGGGTCCAGGACCCATCAGGCAGGTGAGAGGAGAGCCAACGTCCAACACTTTTTTCTCAGACAATTTATCCACGGAGGAAAGGATCAACAAAAGAGCTGTTCAGTTCTTTTAAAGCATTGGTTTTTAAACGATAAAAGTTTGAAAAATGCGTTGAAAGTTTCAAAACTTTTCAAAAAGATGTTCAAAGTTCATCCCACGACCTCATTTGGGGTGAATCTTGTGATGATCTTGAACGTTTTTTTTTGAATCTTTAACTCACTTTAAATGTTCTTTTCATTCTTTTATTTTCTAAAAAAAGACATTTATTTCGGCATTAGAATCCAAATTGTTGTTAATGTTTGCCAGGCACTGCACGCGGAGACCACTGGGAAGAACATGGACGTGCCAGACTATTTCTACAGATATGTGGACATACTGCAGGAGTACAACGAACAGTTCGGATGCAACTTGAGCAACATCGTCGAGTTGGCTCAGAGTATGTTTTTAACCGGAAAAAAAGTGCCAAAAAGTGCTTTTTTTCTAACTTTTTTATTTGTTAATGGCAAAAATTTCTAACTTTAAGTAGTTAATGTGTATGATGGTTTCCTGAGCGGAGAATTTTTTTGGCAGGCTGAAATATTTGTGCGTCCTTTTTAGCTTTGATAATAAAATAGCTTTGTTATTGAATTCTTTGAAAGGTTTTTCGAAGGCGATAACTTTATTTTTAGGTAGATTCAGGTTTAAAAGTGTTTTCAGGTCGATGAAGTTGCATTATCAATAAACTGAGCTGATTGCGTCATTTACTTCTTCCCCATTTTATCTGACCTTGTCAATAAAAAGATTCCTAAATTGGTAAACATATTGAAGCTAAACTGGCATGACCTCGTTAGAGTTTTAAAATAAGTCTGACAAGGACCGGCTTTGGATGAGATTTAAAATAGATTCCAAATCTATCGTAATCTTTTTTATCGATTGCTAAAAACTTCAGGAAGAAAACGGTTTCTAAACTGAAAATTTGAATAAGAATAGCTATTAATATTTAGCCTGAATCGTTAAATTATTCCGATGGCATCAAAAAGTTGATTGATTATTTTTATTTGTTTGTTGTTTCAGTGCTCAATTATAACCTGGGTGAATTGAATGGTAGTGGGCAAAACGAGAGTTACGTCATATCAATCGCCGTCTCCAAACTCCTCAGTGAAAAAGGTAAACAATCAATTTGTTTATTTCATTTTTGTAAACACAGATTTCATTAATTTCACCTTTGCCAAAAAACATCACCTTTGTCATCACTCCATCAAACACATCAGTTTTTCTTTCATTTTAACAAAAAAGTCCAGTTTTGTAAAGGAAAAGAAGACCATAAGATTGTTAAAAAAAATGGTAGAAAAAATTGCAGCCTTTCGCAATTTTCCTTCTTTATTTGATTTAATCAAATTGTTCTTTGTTATAAAAAACTTTTGCATCACGTTTTTGATTTATAATTCTGTCTGAACATTTCAAGAAAAAGTTTTTTTGTCCATCAATTGTAGTTCAAAAAAGATTATCTGTGTTAGAAGGTAGCAATGAGAACTAATTGTAGTGAAAAACAGAAATGACACTGCCATTAAATTCTAACGTTACTGGAGAATCAGTCTTCATCATAACCCAATTAACCTCAAGGAGATTTATCTTTCACCACCCATTTGCCCATTTCCCCTCTCCATCCCCATTAGCCTCAATTATATTCCAATCTTTCACCTTCATCCCCCCTTCGACCCAATCAACCCAATGATGAAATAATTTTGTGTACATGATGGTAGTAGCATTAATACTAAAGTAACACACCAACTGATATCTCGTTTTGTTTATTTGTGCAGGTTTGAAAATGGCACCGCTCTCAAAGAAACAAGTGATTAGCAAGCGACTGGAAACCGTACCATGGTAAGTGATGGCCCTTTCATTAACCCTCTGCTGTATATTTCATTAAAAATATTCTCTGAAATAACATCTCAGATAGCGGCAAAATTGGAAAAAAAAGACAATAGTTACATCAACCATAAACCTAAAGCTACTAATTTTGAGCCCTAATTGAAATTCATGCAATATTTTATATTAAAAAAATGATTCTTTGATTGCGAACAAGAGAAAAATAGCTAATTTTTCAGTTTAGTCAAATCTAAATCTAAACTTTCAAACTTAAATCTAAACTTTCAAACTCTGAACTCATTTTAATTTTAGATGGACATCTTTATTTGAACTTTTTAAATGAAATCCCGTTGTTTTTCTCCCGGGGATTGATAATAGCCAATATTTCTATTTTCAGTTTTTCACTAAAAACAAGTGTTCAAATTTGCTGCCAAAAAGTACTTATTTGGCAACTAAACAACATATGTTAGATCAATTGAATAAAATTGTCACTGTTGTTTATTTTTCAAAAAACACATTTAAATGAATCAGTTGAAAACAATGTTTAAAACATCACATAAAAACTAACATGGATATGAAAAAACGCTCAATTTTTTCTTTTTCTTTTATGCAACATGTGTTTGGCATCACTTGTTACCAGATCAAAAATAATTAAAAGTTGATAGGAACACATTGCAGTGAGCGTGAATGAGGGATGCAACATATGGCTTGTTATATTGATGAAATGAATGAAAAAATGGCTTTCGTTTAAAAATTTATCGTCCACTTTTTAAAGTATGTAAAAGAACGTTTGAGTAAAAAGAATAAAAGTTACAGACTAAAATTTCACTTTATTAACAAACAAGATTGCAATGAGGTGCATTTGATGTTATGAATGAAAAAAATCAAAAATCAAAAATTGCCCAAAAAATCTTGTAGCTGTTGTGTATACTCTTTGTTACAGCAATCTCTGTTGATTTATTTGTTTTCTTTTTTGTAGTTTTGAGGCAATTTTGACCAAAAAACGAAGATGAAAATTTGACCGAGTAAGTTATGATAGTGATTTATGGTTACAGTTGTAATTATAATAAACTAGCGGGAGAGGAGGGCTGGGTCGGGCTGAGACAACTAATTAATCAGAATAAAACATGTTGCAATTAACAATCGAATTGTTTCAAGTTGGTGAAAGTGAAATCAGCCGAAATACCAATTGAAAAAAAAATCCAAAATGTAATCTGACTTCCGAATTACATCTAAAACTATCTGTTCTCTTTAAGTTGTCGAATTCATAAACTGTTTTAAAACTTATGGAAATAATATCTGAATGATTTTTTCTGCCAATTGGAAATCGGCTGTTTGAGACGGTATCAGTGGGTTGCAGCAATAATTATTGGTACATGGTGGCTAAACTAAACATTGTACTTGGTTTGAGTTCTGTTTACGGGTCTAATGGTGAATGTCGTTAACAGATAAAAAATCGAGTGCTTTACACTCGAGCAAGATAGCAAAATGTTTTTTTTTTTCATTATAAGAAAAATGTTTTTGATTTTGCGAATGTTTTAAAAATATTATATTTTCAAAATCTCCGTATCGTGAACTGTTATAAAATTGAGCTCAAGACCTCTTATACTTAGAAAACTGGTGTATAAAATTCTGAATCAAGACTTTGCTTTTCCCGTAAAGAACTTGGGTTAGAAATCACTTCATGCCTTTACGCTTTGCTTTTATTCCATGCGAGAACGAAAAATTCATGCTTTGAGTATGTTTTAAAATCAAACATGATAGTTTGAGAATCATCAATCATATACCTTACAAATTTTGACGCAGGTTTTTTCAATGACAACAAAAAAACACGAGAATGTCTAAAATCAAGGGCGGATTTAGGAGGGTGGGGGGGGGGGGGGGGGTGGATGTGGAGATTTGTCCAAAATAGGGTCTTATTAGTGTTCTGGGAGCTATCGGAAAATAAATTTGTCTATCTAAAAAGTATCAACAAAAATTTCAAAATTTTTGAAAATCCGCCACCCCCTCCAGAAAATCCTAGATTGCCTCTGATTTAATCCATTTTTCAAATGTAATTGCAATTAATAGAAATTTGCGAGTGTCATCTATGATAACATTTGCAACCAATCGATAAGCAGTATAACTTAGTTTTTGAGACTAATACTAGAATTTGGTCGATTACAAAAGTTTTTCATTAGAGTAAGCCAATCTGGGCTTTTTGGGTTGTTATATCACTAAATTTTTAAGATGCATAAACTGCTATATGAAAAGTTTATGTAAGAACGCTCTAAATTATCAGTTTTTTCGGTTGCGCAATTATTATTAATATATAAAATTTTTCAAATGATAAATTTGACAAAAATACAATAAACTAGTAATTTACGCGTTTTAAGACGATGATTGTTCACTTCTTGCATCTTTTCATAATTTTTAGGCTTGAAATCTTTAATTTTGGCTTGAAACTCGGACCGATTGATCTCCAGCTATCAATTTGGACAATCAGTGAAAAACCTAAACTAGAAAAAAATTTCATAAAAAGCCTGCATTTGAGCATCTGTTACGCTTTTTGATTCAAAAAATAGTTTATAGGGGACAAAGTTTTGAATAAGTGTGCCGCTTATCAGTCAGACTAGATCTGCATTCATATTGGGTTTTTTTGTCTGACTAATATGCGAGACTAGTATTCAAAAGTCTGACTAATATGCGGGACTGGTAATATCTGACTAGTATTCAAAAAGAGGTATTCCCCAGAAACAGTTTTTTGAATCACAAATGCGTAACAGATGTTAAAGTTCAAGCTCTTTTATAAAAAATTGTCTTTGTAAATTTTGAAAAACAGTTTTGATGATGTTGGGAATTCACTTCAAACTCGCGTCAAGTCTTAGAACTCCAGTCCTAGGTCGAAGTAATTTAAATAATAATTATTGTTCCGATCACTCGAAAAGTGAAAAAAAACTAGGTAATAGAGTCAGTTCATTAACTTTTTTCGGCCAATTTTAACTACTTCAACGAAACCTTGCAGGGAGTCAAGTGTGGTATTATATTAAAGCTCTGTTGATCGTGATTTTTGCTGCAAAACAAATGTAAAGGCTGTCAGAATTTCAAAAAAAACTGGTCTGAACTTTTTCCGTTTTAGACTGATTCCGATGAATATTGATGAAATTAGGCGACATTACTTGACATCTCAATTTATTTCGGTTTTAATTTCAACGTTATTCGGGTTTATGTTTTATGGACATCTTGTTTTTAATTCTTGGTTTATTTATTTTTTTTGTCAGAGTTTTTGCTTACAAAACATTTGAAGAAATTTTTATTTGTGTAAGCTTGTTTTTAAACATCTTGTTAGGAGCAACGGGCAAATTAAAGTTAATCTGTCAACATTTGTCAAACTCCTATGACCTCACTATCATTGCTCATTGCTATACTAAAGTCTGAACCTACGATTTCTTTGTAGAAATAAATAAGTCAATCAGTTGTAGATGAATGATACGGTTTCAATGCTTGCGTTTTGTTCACAAGATCAAGAGAAAAACATCGGTATAGGGGATTTTTTTTTTCGCTCGATATATTATTTTTTGATAAGTTTAGCAACTTTCAAGAGTCAAGTGACCTCATGAAAATCATCAACAGCATGAGCATTCAAAAACTTATTTTTCGATTTTCATAGGCTTTTTCAAGCAACAATTTTAAAAAATTGAGTCGAATCCGGTAATATTAAATCTATTTTGGTTGCAGTTTTAGTCTTGCCAGATTTTGACCGAGACTAATTTGTGCGATTACATTTTTAAAAAATTTCCAAATAAAGTGCGATTTCAGATAGAAAATCACTTCAGGCTATTTTTTTGTACTATTATTAGAATTTTTTTGTTAATTTTAAATTGAAACTGTTTGCTTGAAAATACTTGTTCTTCTTGATCATTAAAACACCGATTGATCAATTAGTTGAATTTAATCAGCTGGGATTTGTTTCAGCACCAAGGAAGAGATGGTATGTGAAGACACTGTGATCAAAGTGAGAGGTCTTCCCTGGCAGAGTTCGGACCAGGATGTCGCTCAGTTCTTTCGAGGACTCGACATTGCCAGGTGAAAACCGAAACCCATTTAAAATCAATTATCTATTTAAAAATTCAACTTAAGGTGTTTTGTTTTTGTAAATTTTCATTTCAGTAAATTAGTTTTCAATCAACAAAAAACCTTATATTTTGCTCCTTTTCAGACATCTCTATCAAGAGGTTTTTCTGAGAGTGATTGTGCCAACTTTTCCAGTTTAACTGATTCATTATTGAACAAAACTAACAACATTTCTGTCGTATATACTGCATGGCAGAAATCTGACCGAAACTAAGCACATACATCAAAGGGGTGTAAACTTGCTTTTTTTCCTATTTTTCGGTGTTTATTTCATCAAACCACATGATAGTAGTTCGTACGAGATTTGAATTCACTATAAATTCAATTTGGTTCCTCCGACCTAATCAAAAATCCAATTTAGATTTCAATTGACGGTCACCGCTTCACGATAGATTATTCACGCTACTCAATATTCTGATAAAAAACGTTCTGAATTACAAAAATTGTTCAAGCGTCTTCATTTGATAATCAATTTTCACAAAAAATTTAACTAAGTCCAATTTTTTGAAATTTAAAAATTGCCAATAAACTGGATAACTGGAAATGTTTTATTTCCAAAAGAACTAATCGAATGGAAAATTGTTAATGAAAAGAGGCCTTATGGTATATTAGTTATTTAGAGAGGAGATTGTAGGAAATAACAAAAGACGGGGGGGGGTGTCTGGATTTTTGACGTTATCAGTCTTTGTGTAACCGAGATACTTCTAGGTCACTACTAGCAAATCTGAGTACATTTGAGTCCATTAGCTTAGATTTTGTTTTTCTCTTTGTGACGTCTTTATTAGTCGACCGACCTTTAAAAATTTTAAATTTCCTTCTTTCCTGGTACTTTGCAAATTGCTCATAGAAAGAACCCATTTTTCATATTTCTTCCCGTGAAAGCGAAAACAAAAACTGGGAGAAAACTGGGGAAAATTGAGGAATCAAAAAAAGGTCTTTTTTTTCTAAAGTGAGATAGGGATTATTACCTCTCTTCCTAATAAAGATGCAATGAGGCTTAAACTGTAACTTGACGCTAGAGAAGCCGCGTCACTTGTTCCCTATTTGCTTATTGTCGTAAAATAGAATTATTTCGAGGCCCATTCGTTCCTTTTTGGGGTATTTACCGTGACGGGCAAAACCTTATTTATCACCCAAATCACCAGATTTCCTTTCGGCCGTGAATTTAAGAAAAATCACCGGATATCAATTTGCTTTATTTCTCTTTTAACACTTTCTTCTGAAATTCAATATTTTTTTTCTGCAAATCATCAAGTATATTTCGTTTTTAATTTTGCCGTTTTCCACACAAGCAAATAAAATATAAAGTTGAAAATATTTGTTGATTTTTTGCAGTTCCTTGATTGTAAAAACTACAGGCGGAGATTTTATCACTTTTACAACTTCCTTCTTCACCAGGTAAAGTAATCAAAAACAAGGTGTTTCTTTGAACAAATTTGCAATCAATTTCGCCTACCATCAATCTATCAATCTAGAAAGACGCAATCAGTGTTTGTCTCGACTTACAACTTTCTAATTGCGCTGTTTTTCATCTCACTTAACCGCCTTTTAAGCTTTTTTCTACTTTTTTTCGTCTTTTTTCGTTCTTTCATTTTCAATCAGACAAATCCCCTCGCAATTTATCCTCTCTCTTAACAACCTTCTCGAATAGCTTCCACTCAAACGTTTCGCTTCTATAGTATTTTTCTCGGAGGATACTTTGAAGATAATATGGTATTAACTCTTCCGAACAATTAGAATCCGTATTCTTTTTTTGTAATATTTTCTCCATTCGGAGAAGATAGTGAGCTATTGAAAATTTACCGAAATCTCCCAGTTTTGGACATCTGTTATTCTGATAACAAGTAACTGTTTAATTATTTTTCATAATAGTATCTTCGCTAAATTTATAAATCTTGATAACTGGTCTCTCGCAAGTGCCAGACAGTTTTTTTTTGATGAAAACGTAGAAAAATAATTGCTGTATTCGATATAAAAATCAAAAATGAACTAGTTATTACTCTTTCGTGGTGATTAGAGTTAATTGATAATTACCCTTGGCTTGTTCTGTTACTAACAGAGGAGGCGTGGCTTTGTGTCTGAACCCACAGGGAAGAAGGAACGGGGAAGCTCTGGTGAGATTCAACACCACCCAACACAGAGACATGGCACTCATGCGACACAAACGACACATGGGCAACAGGTAAACATTGTCGAATTTTAAAGCCCCACATTTCAAGTTTTCCATTTTCTTAATCGCCTTACTTGATATCAAGGCTGAATGCGTGCGTAATCTTGAAAGGTATGAAGAACACATTCGTTCACAATAGTTAAAGTTTATTCACTTGAATGGAACAAGTTAACTGCCTTCCCCGAAATTTTTTATGTTGGCCGATGTTACTTGGTTCTAAGTTGGAGTTTTCCTCTAACCAGAAAAATTAATGTTTTGAGCAATTCTAATCCAATCTGTATAGTGGGACTTAAATTAAAGAAAAATTGCTTTAAAAAGATTTTAATCAAAAACAGACGCTACTGAAAATTAAATATGTATTCCATCCAGGTATATAGAGGTGTACAAGAGTTCACCAGATGACTTCATGAAGATAGCTGCTGATCCCAACAACGAGGCCATCGGCTTCCTCTCCCACGGGGACAACATCATCATCAAGATGAGGGGGCTGCCCTTCACTGCCACCGCCGAGGATGTGGTAAGTCTGCTCAATCTGATCACATATTTTATACCTAAAATTACTCTGAATACAAAACGTTTCTTGAAACTTTAAAGAAAAATTATTAAACAAATTGTTAATTATTTTGAAAAATTATCAAACAAATTAAGTTCGCTTTTGATGGGAGACGATTTATTTTTTGAATCAGCATAATTAATCAGCGAGCCTGCATAAACACTACGATTTACTTACTTAAAAAAATTATTTAAAAAATTTTGAAATTTGATAACTGGTAATTATCTTTTAGAATATTCAATTGCATCTTTAATAAAAAAGTTTGGATATGTGTTCACAGACAGAGTTCTTCGGAGCCGACTTGCCGATTGTTGCGGAGAAAGAGGGCATCCTCTTCGTCAAGTACCCAGACGGGAGGTCCACTGGAGACGCGTTTGTCCAGTTTGAAACGGAAGACATGGCCAAGGAGGCTCTGAAACTGCACAAGACCAATATTAGGGACAGATACATTGAGTTGTTCAGATCTACGGCTGCTGAAGTTGTTCAGGTGCGAAGAAGTTTGAACATTTTTATTCCAGCAAGTGTCGATAAATATATTCATTTATTAGTTTTGATCAGTTTTAACTAAATAACAGTCCCCAGCATGTAAATCAACAGCATGTAGAAAAATACTTCCAGCATGTAAAACTTTTTTCAGGTTTGTAAAAGCAACTAGTCTTAATTGATAGAAAAATAATTAAACCAAGCTGTAAATTGAAAACGTTTATATATTTTTATATAAAACTGTCTAGAAAAGATTTCTGCTAATCAAAATTATGACAACTTCTGGAGTTTTTCGGAATTTTTAAATCTACTTATCTAGCTTGCCTAATATTTTTTCATTAAACCTGATGTTGCTTAAAATGAATGCTCATCTGAATTTTTTTCAGGTCATGAAAAGATTCTCCAACCCACCTCTTCTTCCAAACGGACCCCCAGGCATGAATGGATCTATGCCCCCAATACCCAACCTAAACGGCCCCCACCAGATGGGACATCTTGGCTTGAATCCGAACCTAGCGGCACTGCACAATCTCTTACCGTTTCTACTTCCCCCATCCTCGAAGAGTTGCCTGCTTCTTAGGAACCTCCCCCTCTGTGTGAAGGTCGAGGATATCATCACGTTCTTGGGGGAGCACGCGGAATGGATTAGACCGGCCGGGATTCATATGGTGCTGAACCAGCAAGTAAGTTAAATCTATTCGTTTGAAATTGACCTTTTGATTATTTCAAAATAAATTTCTGTGAACGCGAATGGTTTAGATTTAAAAAACTTGTGACAAAAACTTGTTGTTGCTTTTTAATTCAGCAGTCCTGAATGATTTTGTGATTTTTTTTGGCAAAACTTTAGTTAAGCAACAAAAAACTCGATTATCACAAATATGTACTTTACATCAGAAAATTTTGAGTTAGTTTTTCTGCTATGTTATTTCGGCTTATTTTTGGTTTTTGAACTCCAAAACCAAAATTTGATCATTTTTTGTCCCAGGGACGACCGAGTGGTGACTGTTTCATCCAGATGCATTCTGACGTCAAGGCGGCCGCAGCTGCTCTGTTCTCTAACGCCAAGTTCATGAGCGACCACAAAGTGCACGTGACCCAATGCTCACCCGAAGAGATGAACACTTTCTTCGTTGAAGGTGCGTCCTTGACCTCTTCTTCTGACCTCTCTTTGACCTCCTCTAACTCCCTTCAGATGATGAACCCTGTCACCACTATGAGTCATCATCTGCCAAACCAATCTTCTATATATCCCGCTTCGCTTCTAACTAACCCATTACTAACCGGTAGTAATAACTTGGCCCCAAATTTCGCAGCTCACTTTGGGTCTAACTTGGGTGGTGGTGGGAATTTCTTGACTTCGTCAGTAATGGCTCCTTCGGATGCGTTTTCGACCGGAGCGTTCGTCGCGACGTCAACGCCGCCTTCCTCTCCCCCGGAGCAGAACTGCAATTTCACAACAATCTCTCCCTTTTCCTTTGGTACGGGACTTCTATCCTTTATATTTTTTCTTGCAATTATAATAATAATTTTATCTTTAAGCCTCATACTAATAACCAATCATTGTATGAAATTGTAAGTTGAAAATTTAGTTCGGCTTGGGAAAATACCAAAGAGGCATCAGCCTGCTTGGTGGTATCACCATCTCCTTTTTTTTCTGGCTTTTCAACATAGTTTTTTTTTGCTAAATCAAACTTATTTTACTTTTTTTTTCATTTCTAACGCTTTTCCTTTACACCTCTTATTTTTATCCGCTGAGTTATGGAACCGTATCATAAAATTCACTTTTGTATAGAATTTTCTACCTTTCTATTCCTGCTAAATACATTTATTGAGACGCACTACAGAAATTGTTCAATATTTTGAGCCATAAAATTTTCGCTAAATTTAGAGATATTTTCTGAAAGTAGGGACATCAAAACATAAGGTATTATACCGGTAGCTTAAAATGCCATTTGAACTTAGAGAGACGCTAGGTCAAAACGATTAAGAGGATTTTGTCTCGTCTCATTAAAGTAATAACTTCCCCTTTTTCCTTCTATTAATAATCGCACATATTCATCCATTATCATCTTAATGTCATAAAATGTTCTTTACCCCGGGAGTGAAAAAATATATTTTTCAGGAATTGAACAGTAAAACTTTGCAGCATTTTTCAATTTTCCATTGGAAGGTTATGTTCAGATTGTAAGGTAGAAATACATGTAAATTTCAGATGATCTTGGCTTAAAAATGGAAGGTTTGTATAATCCAAAAGTATTCCAATCAATTTTAATCTATAATTTTTCTCATTTCTTCTTCTACTTTGATCACAAATCTTTGAGAAGCATTAGAGGAAAAACGGTGACGCTAATGTGATCCCTGAACTACCAGATGAGATAAAGTCTACTTAAATGCCAAACATGTAGAAAAAACTGAATTTTTCAAAAAAAAGAATGGCAAAATTTTTTTTTTTGTTTCAGGTACCATCTCTCCGCCTACAGCCGTCACATCCCCGCAAGTTCTCCCCTTCCCCAACCTCTTTCCAAATGTGTTCAACCCTGCGACCACGTCCCATCTAGCGGCCGCCAACGCCCTCCTCGCACCTGCACTGAAGGCGGCCGCAGCTGCACAACAGCAAGTCGCAAACGCACACCTCGCCCCTCCTCATCATCACCCGATTATTCCGACGAGTGCCGCGGCCGCAGCGATGTTCATGCAACAACATAACCCCACATATCAGCAACTAACTCCGCCTGTGTCTCCACATAATTCCATATATGGTCAGCCAAACTTCACAGCTGTGAAGATGAAGGGACTTCCTGTAGATGCGACCGTGCAAGATGTGATGACATTTTTCAGCGACTACATCGTAAGCACAAAATCAAAAGTTATACTGTTAAAATATTATTATAGTTAAAAACGTTTTTTTTTCTCTAAATTGAAAAAACTGTAACGCAAGTTCTAAAATTGAAGAAAAAGTTAGCAAAAAAAGAGAATTGTTTATTTTCGAAAAATGTAGAAAAAAGAGAAAAGTTTCGAGACGCGAGCGAGAATGCAACATATTATTAAAGAACGTTTAATTTAGATTCCGGAGCACGCTATTCAGCCGGTGATAAATCAGCACGGGAAAGCGACGGGAGAATGCTCTGTCATGTTCTGGTCTCCCGAGATTGCGAAACAAGTCGTGGCCGAGAAAAACAACTCGCAGATCCGGAGCAACGTCATCGAACTCGTGATTCTCTGAACTTCTCGAAAACTCTGACTTTTCATGTTCAAAATTCTGCAAAATCTCGTAACCAAATAATTTTTGTGCTTCCTAATCATTCCAAACACTTTTATGGAGCGCGAAACTGTTTGTTGTTGTTGCCTAAGACTTTTTGAAGTTGTGAACAACCATTGAATGATCATGCAAAGCTCGCAATATTATATAATTTCGAGTGGTAAGAAAAACGCTTTAGCAAGATTAATGAAAACCTTCAAATCGAAATGTTTGGAATTCTAGATTTTTGTTAAAGTTCATCAAGTATTGTGAGGCTTGCAAACTTCTATGTTTTCTTCTTAAAACCATGTATCATTTATTTGTTTGTGGTAGCTCTAACCATTTTTCTGTCTTTGCCTGGCTTCAAATCTGTAACTAACCTACATTTCAACCTTTTTGCTCAAATCTTCCCAAGTTTGTGGAACACTAACCTATTTTTCGTCCACAATCATCATCGTATGACCTTGGTTTAACTGTCCGCCCATGCATAACTGTCAATCATGTATCTCTGTGCGAGAAATTGTTGGTTTCAAAGGCGCTTTTAAAACTTCAGACAAAAGTGTAAACTGGCAATTTCATTTCTTGAATGTCTCTTACGAACTTCTGTGAACTTTAACCCTGCTCTATCGCATCTCCTTGTTTCGGTAAAGCTGTTTATTACGTAACAACCTCTGTCGCCACTCACTGCATATCCATCGCATGTTATGTAACAGTTATGTAACATTATTCTACCTTCTCTGACTAATATTGCGTCACACTCGAAATATTGGGTGGTAAACATACCCAAGTTATAGTGAAAAAAAAATCATAAAAAGCAGCATTTGTAGTCTAATTTCTCTGTACTCATGTATACCTGTCTATATTTGTTCAATATTCTAATCAAAAATCTGTAAAATTTTTTGCCTTAATACATGAAAAAATTTTCTGCTTTCTCCGAAAATTTAGTGTTTCTATCCAATTTTCAATCTTTTGCTCAAATTCTTATTTAGAATTCCTCAACATGTGCATAAAATATAGGGCAGTAAAATTTTCGAAAAAGTGCAAAATATATATTTCTGTTTTACTTTCTTTGCTTTTTGTGCTTCAAAATGCATGCAAATTGTCATCACTTTGTGTATCAATGTCTAGATCGCACTTTTTGTCATTGCATTGCAAACAGCATCTTGTTTTAACATTATAGCCGCCAGTGCCTTAATGCTTAATTGAGCTTAGAGGCACATCTATGTAGCAAACTCTCTGTGCAATAAATATTTGTTTAATTAAATATTTTAATCAAAATTAATTTTACCTGTCGCCTGTGCTATCTAGCATTTAGTTACCCAGCTTTGTTTTTAGTATTCTTTAATTTGTCGATGTGTAACCAAAGCAATCGCCCGCAGTGGCTTCTATTGAAATATTAATCTTTTCTGAAAAATAATCATTCAAGTCATTTACGATCGTGAAATGTAATTTATTGTAAGTAATTATCATTCAAAATGTACTAAAGTTTTGAATTCAGTATTTTTCTAGTACTTTTTTTACATTGCGAGGCCTTATTGTGTGTTTTGGCGAATTAATGGATTCCGCAACAGGCGGAAAACAGAATTGTTGCGACAACATTGAACTTTTCCTTTGATCTACTTTGCTGTTTTGGGTTCCTCGGTTAAATAGCTAACCCGCTACCTGATAAATAGCTAAAAGCTTCTCCAGGGATAAAAAGGTAAACAGGCAATTTTGCGGAATCCGCAACAAGTTTTTTAAAATCCGCAACAAAGTTTGCGGAATCCGGAACAGTTTGTAGAATCCATTAGCAAATAGCAATATATGTATGTTTAAGAAACTTGAGTTGTCGTGAAATCCTCAACTGTAAGTGGAATCTGCAAACTGTAAGCGGAGTCGGCAAATTACCAGCGGATTTCATAAATTGTAAGCGGAATCCAAAAATTGTAGGCGTAATCCGCATAAATTTGCGGAATTCTTTTTCATTTGCGGAATCCGCTTACATTTGCGGAATCCGGAACTGAATATACAAAATTACCGCAAGAATATATATTCCCCTACTTTCTTCAAAAATCGGGACAGTTACAAAAGTTTATAATTTGTGTTTTTGTCTAAAAGCTTCTAAGTTTTTGTTGGGCCTGTTTGATTGGGGGAAACTTGTTTTGATTAATCTTTTTAGCATCACAACCTTTGTTTTCACAAAAATCTGCTGCCAAACTTAAGTAGAAAAGATTAAGGCGGCTACTATTTGCAAGACAAAGCACCGAAGGCTCTGCTCTGACTGTACTTTGATTTGTTTGATTTTATTTTATAGTTACTTGTCATATCACCTCTGCGTCTATCAATGTCATCGGAGGTTGCAGACCGTCTATTATCGGCCGGGACTTGATGCCAGAATTATTATCGGCCGGGACTTGGTGCACACTATACAATCAAATGGAAGCACTGTGGAGACGGATGACGACTTAGATAACTGGCAGAAACACTTCAGTAAGCAATTTCACCATCTTTTTTGCAGGGTAGGGCGTATCCGTAATTATAAAGTGCAGGCAGAATTCTTCAAGAATTTAGTCCCAATCCAACAAAAAGGTAGGTGAGTGCCCATAACATTACAAGAAAAAATTGATAAAGAGGTTGAGAAACTTTTGGAACAAGGGCATATTCAGAAGTTGGAAGAATGTTTGGATAAATATTTTGTTTCACCTATTGTCATCACGGTGAAAAAGGATGGTTATGTAAAACTTGCGTTGGAATGAAGAGAACTGAATAAGCAAGTACCCAAAAATAAATATCAAATGCCCAATATTGAAGAACTAATGGATATTGTAGGCCAAACAATCAGCGAACGTAAACAAGGGGATGTTTTTTTTTCGTCAATGGACCTCACGTACGCATATGGACAACTACTGTTAAATGAAAATACTAGCAAGCATTGTAATTTTTCCTTGGTGGGAGGTCGCTCCACCGGTACGTATCGTTTCAAGACGGGATTCTATGGGTTAACAACTATGCCGACGGAATTTCAACGAGTCATGGATGCTATTCTTTCTGAATTTCCGTGCGCGCATGCTTTCATATATGATATTTTGGTGCTTTCAAAGGGTACCAAAATTGAACATATTGCTCTTGTAGAGAAGATTTTATCGAAATTGGATAAGGAAAACATGGCTGTGAAACTGGAAAAATGTCAATTTGCGAAAAATGAATATGAATGGTTAGGCCATCGGTTTACGAAATCGGGGACTACGCCAATGGTCCGTAAAACATATCCGATTGATAAATTAGCCGCCCCGAGAACGCTATCTCAATTGAAGTCGTTTATGGGTTCAAAACATAGTCTTCACAAAAATTTACCTTCGCTGGCAGAAACTTCGGTGCCCTTACGACCGCTACTTAGTAAGAAAAACGAGTTCGTGTGGACAAATGACTGTCAAGTGGCATTCGAATCGCTCAAAAAGCAAATTGCGAATTTTGTAGAACTTAAGCATTTCGACGTGCATAAAGATATCCGAATTGTGTGCGACGCGAGCCATAATGGGTTGGGGGCAGTACTCGAACAACTAGGCCCCGAGGGTTGGCGACCTAATTCATTTGCATCTCGGTTTCTGAATGCGGCCGGAAAGAAATACTCGACGAAAGAGTTAGAAATGTTGGCCGTAGTTTGGGGTTCGGATTATTTCAGAAATTACATTTTCGGTAGAAAATTAACCGCAGTGACAGATCACAAAGCTTTAGTGTCATTATTGAATGGAAACAATAAGAAAAACAAAACTATGTTCAGCCGTTTGACCCGTTGGATCGACCGAATTATCCCCTTTGATTTTTTAATTGAACATATGCCAGGGGCTAAAATTGGACTGGCGGACCGGGAGGCAATTACTGTCCTTCTGAACCTTACGAAAAATCCGTCGTCGCAAAATCTTAATTGGGACAGAGTGTTGAAACAAAAATCTGCCTGTTTAGATTCTACTGACCCGCGAGCGAGCAAGTTTCCCCAACCAATGGCGACTGATTGGGAGGAACGATCGGATATTGATTATGACATGGAACACATAAACCAGCCTAGAAAACTGGTTCAGGAACAGTTAGTCTCGGTGGCGGATCGGACCTCGACGCCGGCGGGTGGCCTCAAACACGCCGTGGGAGTGAAGTCGCGGGACGCGAACGCTCAAACATCAAACCGACCAAACAAACGGACGGAGCTCTTGTTTCAGCGTACCAAGGATACTAATAAGAGGTATAGACCCGTAAAACAAAAAGTAGTTGATGAATCTCAACATACCATAACCTTAGCTAATGGCTCTGTACTTAGGAAAGCGGAGTTGCCGGGAAAGCACTCAATCCAAATGCACCGAAAATTTCGGAAAGTGTCACGCGAAAACCTCCCACGATGAGTGCGGTGAAATGTAGAGCGGACCTCAATTGAGCACAAGAAGGCAGGCTGCGGGGATAAATGCAGGAAAAACAATTGAAGATGGAACGCGATCTAAGTCGCGAAATTGGGATTATGAGGATGAGGCAGATTCGGATTCAGAGTACGAGCCATTGCGGATTTCGCGATACGCCGGACAAAACGAGGATGAACCAACGGCTGGACGAATGCACCATCGGCGAAAGACAACACTGAAGGTGTTGCGGAAACATACGGCGGAAGCGGCGCACAAGCATCCAAAGGAGTGGATAGTGAAATCCAAACCACGGGTACTGGACAAGGGGAAGTGCCCCTAACTTGAACAGTGAAGCACAGTCGGGGAAACTACCTAAGAAAAAAGAGGAGCGAGTTCGACGGCAACGTCTAGTATCATACTCGAGTCAAGATTCCCAAAATTCAGATGGGGCGGGGTCAAGAAAGAGTTCCAGGAAGCGAACTGCGGTTACCGAATTCGGAGGTGTTATAATCGACAGCATTTTAGAAACTAGGAAAAACAAGGGGGAAGGAGACAGAGAGCGGGACACGAACTAGGAAGATGGAACTATGATTGAAGGAAAACTTTGAAGGAAAATTTTTACTTAAAACTTAAACTGATGCCCAGGGAGAGGGTGGACCATTGTTGGGTCTAAAACTCAAAACATTGATTCATTGGCTACAATTTTAAATTTCGATTTAAAAATGATTTTTGAGGGAATTATATATATATTATCACTCTATTCAGCCTTTATATATATATATATATTGTGTTTGCTTGGCGCCATTGGTACTGGTCATATGTTTGGTGCGGTTAACGATTAATTAGTTCCTGCCAGTGGTGGTCACGTACGTTGGTGATTTAAGTTTGTTGCTCAACTTTTGAATCTGGAATTCAGTTATTGTTATTCAGTGAAATTTACGGTATAGAACTCTGCGTTTTTCACATACTATTTGATGATTTTTTTTGAAAAATGTTCCCCGATGTAAACTACAAAATCATACATTAGAATCTGCTAGACATGTGCTTTAATTACTTTTTGAAATATTTCTGAGCCGTAATATTCAGCTGCACTTGCTGCGCCTTATTAAAAATTCAAAAAATTCTCATTAATTCTTCCGAATCAAAAAATTCTCAGCGAAAAATAACCCCAGGTGAATTGAAGCAAATTTTTTTGAAGTGGAGTTAAAAGTTTCAATTTGTTTTTAAAAAATTAGCCTGAAAAAACTACTCAAGCAAAACTTTTCCGTTATTTTTTATTGAAAATCGCAATTTATCATCATAACTCTAAAACGTTTCTGTAAGAGTTTTTATCATAATTTCTTACTTTTTTGATATAAGAGTTTTGACCTGCTTCAGCGCTGACTCTTGTGCTGCTTCTTCATTTTATGTTTTTAAATTTGATGATAGCTCGATTTGAATTTTCCAAAATACAAGTCACAATTGACGCTCTTACTAATCTTATTATCTATGTTCCTCACCTTACCGTAAAATTAGTACAAAAGTTTGTGAGCGCAGTAATAATTTTAGCAAGAAGTACCCTCTGTTTTTCACCATTTTTGCTCGGCTCACTATTCACGGGTATAATCAGTCTGACTTTGATGAGGAGTTAGGGCTTATTTAACCCAATAATTTCTGAAAAGTGTAAGAAGATAAATTAATGCCCTCATAAAATTCATCACTCGCCCGGCTTAAGTTTTTTTTTCAATTTAATTTTTCAGCAGATTAAAACAGAAACACATGGTTGCAAGGCTTGAAGGATACCCAGTTGAATTAAATGCATGATACCAGGTTGCAGAAAGCAAAAATTGTTCGAGGCCTGCCACGGTGCCGCAATGCGACATCAAACTCCAGCAAATTTCAAACTTCAGGTTTTTTTCTAACGGATTTCGACTATCCTAGACAAACCTCCTATCCTAGAGAAAGCAAAAAAAATTATACAAATTTCCAGAATCAATCAATTCAACTTTTGGACCAGTCAGTCTTTTTATCTTATCTGAGATACCACGAAGCTACATTTTGGTCCATAGCCGACCAAACATCAAGTGAAACATCCGACATATACAGCAACCTGAGTTAATTTTGTCATCTCGCCAGTTACCGTGGTCTGCCAAACAATTTTTTGA